GTGAGGCCTGGACAAAATGTCACTCTTCACTGTCAGGATCCCAGGGGTGTAAATATCACCCTGTTAGAGTGGAGCATACCTGAGATTAAGTCAGACGGATACGTCTTCTTCTACCGAAACCGGCGCTCATATGAAAGCTACCAGCACGAGCGTTTTAAAGGCCGAGTGGAGCTGGCAGACCCGTCTATGAAAAACGGAGACGTTTCTGTGATTCTGAAGAACGTCAACGTCAACGATACAGGAACATATGAGTGTCGGATTATAACCAGTAATCTCAGCAGCGGTCAGAGAGTCAAGAGTGAGTCCAGGCAGTCCATCGACCTCACAGTCATAGACTCTGGTGAGTTGAGAGGTTCACTTTACTACTTATTCTTCTTCTGAGTAGGGACATGTGGAGGCAAAGTGCAGCCCTCACTGCACGGCTAAGCACAAAAGAGCTTTTTGTGTCTCTGAACTTTGACGCTGGCTTTTTGCACCCCCACAGATGTTCTCTGAGGGAAGCATTGTCTGTCCATGCGTGGTAAAAACAGAAGACCAAAACAAAAAGAAAAGAAAGAGAAAGGAAAAAGAGACGCAAAAAGCCTTTTGTCTTTTGTCTTTCTCCAAAAAGACTTTTATCACTGCAGAGGATTTGCAATTATTTATCTTTTTTGGTCTACTTTCCACGGACTTGACGTGGTTTATGAAAGATCACTGCAGTCTGCAGTTAACATGATCTTTCTACTTGTGTTACCTGACATATGCTGATGCTTCCTGCAGTGGCGTCTGAGTGGTGATAAATCTGATCTGACGTAGTTGTTTAGTGGCCCCGTTTTATTTTCATTCAGACATCTGTTATTGCTCATTTTCCTGTGTGTGATTATACCAGCCGAGTGCATTTTACTTCTTTGACTGTCTTAGAGTTTTGAATGTGGTGGCGCAGTGAACCGAGAAAAAGGCAAAGAGCTGATAGCCAGAGGCTCTGAGGCTGACACAGATGTCGGACATGAGAACTGTTTAAACTGAGTTTGATGTTGTAGAGTGCCTATGGCAGAGTAAATTATAATGCAGAAAAACATGCATGATATGACTGGATCATAGTTGTTGTAGCATTAATATGTGCATCCTTTTAATGTATAAGATGGAAATTTTATTCAGTTATGCTGCTCGGTGGTTTTATCTATATTAATCCAGCAATATACAGGGAGTGCAGAATTATTA